GGGGCTGCTCACACCGGCGATGCGATGACCGTGGGGCGTGGGGGGGCGAGAGGGGGGCAAAGGGGGGGGGGGGGGGGGGTGGATGGGGGGGGGGGGGGGGGGGGGGGGGGGGGGGGGGGGGGGGGGGGGGGCAGAGAGGCAGAGACAGAGGGGTGGAGATCTGCTTGGAGCCACCGCCGGTTGGACCCGACCACCCTCCCTGAAGAGAGGGCCCGTGCTGGGCCCGGAGCCGGGGTCGGCCTTCGCCGGAGGGCAGGCACCAGATCACCCCACCCACGCCTCGGGCCGAGCGATCTCTCCCCCGGCCTTGCGCGTGGCGAGAAAGTTGCAAACACATGTGTCCCGGGCGGAGAATGCCGGGAGACTCCGTGGTGAAGGGGCCCAGCGAGCCGGGGGGCCGGCAAAGAAGCTGCGGCCCGGGAAAATGCCCCCCGGCCGGCCGGCCCCCCTGGGAGAAACACATAAGGTGCCAGCGATTGCAGCGTGCCCGCGCCCCCCCCCCCCCCGGTGCCCGCGCCCGGCGGTTGCCCTGGCGTTGGCAGGTCCCCTCCTCGTCGGCTGCTTTTTCGGCCGGCCAGTGGCCCAGCGTCGCCGATCGCCTCATGGAGACCTTGCCCCCCCCCCCCCGCCTTGCTTCTCTCCTTTGTGCCCTGCTCCGCTGTGCCCTCTCCCCCCCCCTCCCCCTCCCCCGCCTGCCCGGCCCCCCTCCCAGCAGTCTCCTCTCCTTCTGTCCTTCGCCCGGGCCCCTGGCCCCAGCACACGGATCACCCGGCACAACATGGACCTCACGGACCCAAGTGGCTCGGCGGCCAACACCAACACGGCTCCCGCCCCGGCACCGGCCGACATGCTGCTCTCCTTCGACTTCGGCGGTGATAGCAAGCCCCTGCGTGCCAAGCCGGTCCTCACCAAGAAGTATTACTCCAAGGCCGAGCGCGAGCGCATGGCCGAGATGACCGGCACCGCGCCGGCCGGGCCGGCTCCGGTCCCTGCGCCCGTGAGGCGACTCCCCCGGCCGCAGCCGGTCCCCGATGGGGCGGCCTTTGCCTTGCCGCCCTCGGCCGGCCCGGTCACCGCGTCCCTTGTCGCCGCCCCGAGCGTGGATCTCGGCCTGGGCGGTGGGGACGGCGGTGCTTTTGGCGGCGGTGCTGGTGCCGGCGGTGCTGGTGCCGGCGGTGCTGGTGCCGGCGGCGCTGGTGCCGGCGGTGATGGTGGCGGTGCCGGCAGCGGTGGCTTTAGCAGCGGCCTAGTCGGCATGCTTGGGGGTGGCTCCGGCACCGGTGGCTCCGGCAACGGCCCCGGCCCTGGTGCCCCACTTTCCCCCGACCCGATGGACTTCTCGGCTGCCGTGGCCGCTCTGAGCGTCAAGTCCAATGACCGGCAACCTCGGCCGGCCTCCGGCTTCTTTTCTCTCTCAACCGGCGCTCCGGACCCGGCCCCCTCGCAGCCCAGCTCCTTCACCCAGTCGCCGGATATGTCCCCCTCGCCGGCTGCCTTCGAGCGCCAGCCGAGCCTTCGCGCCGAGGCGCCCATCTGGCCGGCTGAACCGACTTCCACGACAACCATCAGCTCGTCGGCCTTCCTGCCAAGCAGTGGCGGCTACCCTGCCGGGGAGCCTTCATTCTCTGCCTCTCCCCGGCGGGCCACTGCCGACGCCCCGGCACACCCCCAGCCAGCCTGTGCGTGCGGCCCTGCCCGACGGCCGCCTCCCTCGGGTCCCCCATGCCCCCGCCCCTTTTTTGCCTGGCTCCTGCCCTGCCGGTGCGAACGCACTTGTGTAACACCCCCCCCCCCCTGCTGCGCAGCCCCACGCCCGGGCTTTCGGCCACACTCCGAGCCGCCGGGCTCCTTCTCTTTGGTGGCTCCCCACACCAGTGCTCCCCAATCCCCGGCATCCCGGGCATTGGCCACCGGGCCCGGGTCGACCGGTGAGCTGACCCCTGCTGAGCGTGAGGAATTGGAGAAGCTTCGCTTCGAGGTCCGTCTTCTGAAGGACGAAGTTGCCGAGCTGGACGAGCGGTGGCGCGCCGAGCGCCAGCGTCGTCTGGCCCTGGAATCAAGTACGAGCCGCATGCCACCCTCCCTTTGGTGGCCGTCGACCAGCCCCTCCCTTCGCCCGCCCCCCTGTCGCCCTCTTTCTGCCCACGCCAACCCGACTGACGCGACCCCTCACAAGGCCAACCGGCCGGCGGCTCGACCCCCTCGCTGGAGTCTGCTGTGGCGGAAATCCGCCGTCTCACCACCGCCCTGCGCACATGCGAGTCAACGTGCCATCAGCTCCGTGAGCGCTCCGAGTACCTTGCCCTTGTGACCGAGACCATGAAGAAGGTTCGTCCTCCCTCTGGGGGAGACACTTGCCCACATGCGCGCCCACCTGCAGGCACATTTGGCAAGTCCAGTGCCAGGGCCTCCCCGGCACATGTGCCCCTCCTCGCGGGATGTGCCTGCTGCCCATGCCCCCATCCTCACTTGCTGGCTGACAATGGGTCGCACAGAACGAGGACATCCTCCGGAATTCGGCCCTCGGCTTGCAGGAGCAGCTTCAGCAGTATCAGAAGCGCTTCGAGGCTCTCAAGACCCAGGCTGAACAGCAGATC